AGGTCGACGCCCCATGAGCGATATCGTCAATGTACGAACTTCTTCCCAAGACCGGGCCCATTTGTGACGGAGACGGGATATTGCGTCGGAATACAGTCATGTCTAATGCTGGGATCTCTGAATACCACATGTCTACCTCAGGTTTCAGGACCTCTTGCGGCTCAAGATTCAAAAACTCCAGAACTTCTTGGTCAACTAACGCTTCCTCTTCAGGTGGCAGACGGACGAATCCCCACAGACCATTATTGATGATGCTCTGATAAATTAACGGTGCATTCTTCAACCCAAAGGGCATTCTTAGCCATTGAAAATGGCCGAACGGGCAAACAAATGCAGAGATCAGCTTCGCACGTTCAGTCATTCGCACCGCCCAGAATCCGCTCGCCATGTCGAGACTCATAAACCACATCGCGGATCTGAAATCCACCAGCAGGTCATCGATCAAGGGTAGAGGGTAGCGATATAACTTTATGAGCAGATTCAGCAGTCGGTAGTCAATACACATTCGGATGTCTATGCCATTTTTCTTTAGCACAATCACAATAGGTGATGACCACTCGTACTCTGAATGCTCAATGAGCTCTGCCTCCAACAACTTCTTCAGGAGTTCGAACACCTTCACCAAGAAAGGGTGGCAATCTGTCTCGCTCGTAACGCCACTGGTTTTGCTTCACCAACGTCGATATCGCACACTACGCCCCTAGCCGGGGCTGGAGCTACATTGCCGTCTCCCAGGAAGATGCTGCGGTGGCGTTTCAGGATCCTTCTCATCTTGGCTTCCATCTCTGGGGTTGTTTGCTTCATCACCTCGATATTAGCTTCGTCGATGTTGCATTCAGGGGTCAGTTCCTCAACTTCTGGGAGCATGATGAGGTGGTCTCTTAACTGCGCCATCAAATCACTTCCTTCCCTGAGGTAGACAGCGGGCTCTAGATCCAGTTCTTCGGCAGAGACTCGCATTACCCGAGCATATTCCGCCTCCAGCCTTTGGACTGGTGTCGAACAGCTCGCCTGTGACTGGGCGTCCACTGACGGTTCAGGGACCTGAGCGTCATTCTCGACATCTGTCATACTCTCTGGATTCAGAGTCTCAACTTCTGGACTCGAGTCGGGATGGGTCTGTTCTACCGGCTCAGGACGGGTCTCAGGCTCCTCGGGGCCTATCGCGACCGTGTTCATGACGACCGCTGAATTCCGAATGATCTTGAGCGTCATGTCCAATGGTTTCGGTTTCTCTTGCAACTTTACCATCTTCACTTCAGTGACTTGGGACTGTGGGCGCATTAAGAGCTTGGTAGGCCACTGGTATCTCTGGGTCTGGGTACACGGAGGCTCCCTTTCCCTGAGAATCTGCTCTAACCGCTCAGCACGCATCCGTGCTTGGCGTGACACGGTACACTCATGGATTAGTTGTTGCCATTCTTCATACCGCGCTTTGCCAGGGCGAACGAATCCAGGCTGTCCTGGGAACTGTCCGTACTCCACAATACGCACAACCGGAGAGTCCTAGTGTCGATCCAAACATTCTGATCTGAAACATTAACAACCTTGATGGCGGTCGCCCAGGATCTAGCAGATTACAGAACCTTGGTTACCCAGTTTTTTCCTCTCCCAGCCCACACCAACTCACGTCGAGGGTTGGGCTGGCCATACCAAATTCGTACAATAGCGTCCTGACCAGGACGCAGGTGTATGTTCTCTTCTGGGCACACAGGGAGATCCATAGCACGGGACTTGGGATCATTATCATACATCACCACAGTCTCTTCGTCT